TACTTACTTACTTACTTACTAGAATTTTATAAGAATACAATGAAATACATGAAATTAGTCTGAAAATTGTCTTTTTTGAGCATTTAGTGCTGTATTTTTTCACAATCACAGCTACTCTAGAGACACAATAAACTTAGATCTGGTGATTTCTGGTTATTCTAAATAAAATTTTCGATGCTCCATCCTAAAATCTCCTCTTGTTCTACCCCTGTTGTTCAGAGGTTTGTCCCAACTCACAGGAGGAACACGTCAGACTACAGCAGCGACAGCTCCAGTACAGGAAACTCTCCAGAGACCCAGCACAACGTGAGTTTAACTTGTCTGCCAATGCTTGTTACTCCAGAATAACTCCAGGCTGAAAAAATGACAGTTAGTTAGCCAGTAAGTACTGGGGCCTGCCCCCGTATCTGAATGGTGTTCTGTGTCTCTCTCTTAAGGCTTTTGGGTTTAGACCCTGGAGAAACCCCTATTATCTGACCTCAAGGTGGCTGCGCTATAACGTGGGTTGTTAGTTTGAGCATGCACCTGAGCTTGATTCATAAATAGCAGCGTCTATCTATGATGGGCAAAAGGTGTGACTTTAGATCACTGAAGGAGCATTTGTTTCATTTCAGCAGACGTGTTTCATTCCCTACATCAAATCATGTTAAGCCTCCTGCTTCATTAAGTGATGGATTTCCATGATGTTAAACCAAGTTGGCTGCCTCCATTCACCTATACCAGTGGTTCCCAACCTTTTTCCTAAAGGGACCTCTATCTAATGCATAATAAGACAGAACAAGTGATAAACTACAATTAACTCAAATAGTCAATGCAGGAAGTTACTGTGTAAAATCGTAAAAATGAGCAGATTTTTTCAGAGATGAGTTTTTCTGATGTTTTTAGGACTCTGACTGTATTATGTATTTTTTTAATTTCAACAATGATACATACTTTTTAGGCTTCTTTTTTGAAAAATTCAGTGTTTTCTTCTCATTGTTCTATTAGCTCTTTTGCTAATGCAGGCCTCACGATGGTACGTAAAGCTTTGGAGAACCCCTATTGAAGGTCCTGACCCCCAGGTTGGGAACCACTGATCTATACCATATAGAAATTTGGGGTCATGTCTTACAGGTAGTTCAGGGATTATTCCACCACACACTTCACTGCAATGTTTGACTTGTAAATGAGAACCAAAAATATCACAAAGAACATCACAGTTCCTCAACATGTCACAGTACATGTTACTGTTAAATGGCTCCTTTACACCTCCACCACAAATGAAGTTTTAATCTTCCATCAGTGTTTTCAATCAGTCACAGTCCAGAAAAGTGCATTTTTACTGCTTTAACATGCTAAACACAGTTGTCTGTTGTTCAGCAGCAGGTTCTGCCCGAGTGGCACTGACGAAATGCCAACCACAGAAATAAAATGTTCCTTTTTTACCACACACACGCTGTCGTTTATTTGGAGTCAAAGATACGTACAGAAAACTGCGGCCTGAAATACTCACTTCACCAAATTTGCAGTTAAAAATAGCCTCCAATAAAAGCACTATTTACTTCTGTTTCAGTGTTAACTATGAACTACACACTACTACCTTTTCATAATATTACTGAGCCCTTTTTAAGAATTTAACTATATATTTGTGACCCATTTTTAAATATTTGTTAAGATTCAATGAGCTTGAGGCTTAGTGTCAGTGATTAAATAATGAGAGACGGACTAACACATTGTAGGTTTTGGTTTCATCCTTTAATCATATACAGTATGGACTAAATATTCTGTTGATTACAATATAGTGATGTTAGAGTATTGCTGAAAGCTCTCAATGGATGATGCATGTAAGGAATAAATAATTGTGCACATATTGTGACAGAGAAGTTTGCATATGAACATAATCTTCATGCATGGCTTTATTGATGATGTTTGTGTCCCTCATATCATCACATAACTTTACACATGAGCCCAACAATCACAGATAGTCAGGAAAGAATTAAAACGTTGTGTTCTTTTACATTTTCAGGTGCAGAACTTAGAGAAAGCTGGGATTCTCAACAAAACAAAAGTGTGTGAGAACGGCAAGAAAGTAAGGTAAGCTTAAACTTCACTTTGAGGTTGTTGTTTTTTTTGCAGGTATGAACCACTCACATTTAATTTTTTGGGGTTTGGAGTCATGTGTCATCTCCCCCAAAGCTCTCTCCACTGCTTTGTTGTGTGGTAGTGACGGTTATTCCCCCATTTCAGGAAAAACTGGAGCCAGACGTGGACGGTTCTCCTCGGAGGAGTGCTGACATTCCATAAAGACCCAAAGTCTGCAGCCACGGGGGCCTCGGTACGATATGTACGCACTGCTGCAACCTAACTAAGTACATTTACTGAAGTGCTAGTACAAATTGTAGAATTGTCTTTTTACTCCGCTACATTTATATGACAGCTTTAGTTGAAAAATTAAGATGTTTGCATAAGAAAATATGAAAAGCTTCCCCAATATACATATTAGTAGAGCTGAAATGATAAGTTGATTGACAGAAAATGAATTGGCAATTATTTTGATCATTGTTTGTCTTTTTTCATGCAAAAATATTATGGTTCAAATGTGAGGATTTGCGGCTTTCTTGGGGGGGATTTTCCCAAATTTTCTGCATTAAGTACTTCAATGCTTTAAGTATATCTTCCTGATTATACTTTTACTTAAAGAATCAACAAGTAACTTTAAACTCTTGTTGATTCTGGCATCCCCTGTGGACAAAAGCTAAAGTGCTTCTGCAGCCTCGTTTAATTGATTTCAAGGGGAATCCGACCCGTTCCGACCCAGTGGCAGGCATCTCGTGTGCTTATGTAGGTCATATAGAGACATCAGTATTAAACTGAGACTGTTTCAAAACCAGTTAAAAACTCCTTGTAGTTAGTTAGGTCTTTTACTTGTCATCAAGTACTTTCACTGTGTAGTATTAGTACTTTAAAATAAAGGATATAGGCACTTCCTCAAGCACTTCCTCAAAGTAAGGAGTCTTAGAGTGGAGAGTGTTCATGTGTTAATAAGAAGCTGTGACAACTGAATGCTGCATACCTGCTCGTGTTGCATTCTGTACATTTCTGAGAGGGGTTGTAGCTGGGTGAGAAGTTATATTATAGATAGAATTAACCACTAACTTTTTGTATTTGTAAGTTTCAACACATTGCCTGAACCTTTTCTACATACTCTGACCTTTTTCGGTGTCACGTTCATACCTAATAAAGAGAATGAAATATTAAACTGCTGCACGATGCAGGCTGTTGTCACCTTTAGGTGGAGTGAAGGCACAGACAAGCCCTCAGGCCACAAGCTGACAGGGACAGTCACAGCTTTTGTTTAACGCAGCTTGTTTCTTGGAATGCCGCATCGTCAGTTTCGTAAACAGGTGTATTTTTTTTTTTTTTTTTACTCCACGCAGAACAAGACCAATCAAATCGTTCCGGAGGTCACGGTAGACCTGCGAGGAGCGACGATTGGCTGGGCCTCAAAGGACAAATCCAGCAAAAAGAACGTTTTAGAGGTTTGTTGACATGGAAAATAATGTGTGACATTCAGTGGATGTTGTTATCTTAAGCAAATAACACATGCTTATATTTTTAGCTCTGTTATCTCCATTTCAGAACAGTGTGTGATTCATAGAGTATATTTCTGCCTCTCAACTAAAACATGATCTCATGTATTTATATCCAATATTAAAATAATATATGTTACGAGTTAATGAGCAAAAGGAAATCATCTGGGAATGATCTCAATGTGATTTGTGATTCGTATAATTATTGCTTCCTAAAATAAGTCTGATGAATTGTATCTCATTATCTCTCCTCCAGTTAAAAAGCAAGAATGGCGTGGAGTATCTGGTACAGTACGACACAGAAAGCATCATCAGTGACTGGCACAAAGTATTAACGGACACCATACGACAACTGGTAACTCCTTTCATTGGATATAATTGCGAAGGTTATCCACAATAAACTGCAAAAAATCTCCAGCTTTGTCAAGACATTTCTTTCTGTAATCATTTGACATTTTGGGAAATATGCTTGTTCGCTTTACAGACAGTGGCGGTGTCATCGCAGTGTCTGTTTCTTGAAACAAGAAAGATAATAGCAGATTACTGCAAAAAAGAAAAGACATTTTAATTTACGAAATACTTTAAATATGTTGATTTGCATTGGAAATGCTCTTAAAGCACTGGCAGATTTAGCTATTTTAAGAAAAATGCACTCAATTAGCAGTAAAAATGAACGTGAGAAGAAGCTGATTTATACAGTGTGAAAAATGTGATTGTCCTTTTTTATGACTCATGTCTTCATTTTGACAAACGATTCATTAAATACTGATTTATTCAACTTTAATTCTGATAACTCTGCTGTCAATATTGTGCAATTTTGATTGACTCAATGTGTATCTGTGCATCAGGAGTACCAGGACCATCATTCAGAGGAGGAGGAAGGGGACTTGTATGAGAAGATCGCCTGCACGGATGCAGTGCGAGATGACAAGGTTGTAGGCGCCGTGGACAAGCGAAGACGTAAGTTTAAATACTGTGGCATGAATGATGTAATAGTTTTGACCCAGTTAGATATATCAGGCTACTGTAAGAGCCATTTTAAATGTCTAACATTGCTTTTTCCAGCCTCCAGGACGACCGTCACGCCCTCGTCCAGCTCTGCAGGAGATACGGACCAGAAGAGGGTTCGAACCAAGCTGATGAAGTTCCTCATGAAGCGACCCACGCTGCAGTCTGTCAAGGAGAAAGGTTACATCCGAGGTAAACAGCCACAACGTAATGTATAGTTATTTTCAGGCGGTGGCTGATTTGAATAGAAGTTTCACCCTACCAGACTTTTAACCATCTACTATTTTCTTGTGTGGTTATATATGTTTTTTAACACCAGCAGTTTTTTATTTTCCATTACACATTTCATTTTAGATGTTTCAATTATTTTTGCAGAAAGTTACAAATTATTTTAATCACCACCACAGTTACAATGTTGCCCAGTATTAATTCACATACTAACAAATCACTTCAAACACAGCCTGTGCAGTCTTATTACAATCAATCAATCAATCAATCACTATGAATATATGATAGCACATTGTGTATATTTTGTAAACGAACCAATTGGAATAAATTTAGTTGTTTCGTATTATTTCCTACTGCTTATATTTTATATATAATTTGTATTGCTATTAAATTGTACTACTGCTCATATGCATATTATAATCTGTTACAATGTAGTGTATACTTTTTATAATAGTTGTTATTCATATAATGCTAAAATTGTGGGTTTTGTGTAGTTTTATAACACAACAGCTGAAATTATATCTATATTTGTTCTTTTTGTATTCCAATGTAACAACACAATTCTGTCTCCTTATTGTATGTGTTACAAGAATTACCAATATATTCAATATTATTATATACTATGGGATGATAATGCTGCTACTACAGTGACTACTACTATTACTGTTATTGCTCATAATGTTCTTATTCCCTGCAGACAATGTATTTGGTTGCCATCTGGCCACACTGTGTACACAAGAGAGAACCACAGTTCCCAGTTTTGTGGAGAAATGCATCAAAGCAGTGGAAAAGAGAGGTAATCAGCTTTGTTTGTATCACTGCCTGAACCATATTAAAGTATTTGCTGCTGTGTGCAGTATAGAAGTTGACTTACTGGTGTTGATGTTGGTTTACAGGGTTAGACATTGATGGACTCTACAGAGTGAGTGGGAACCTCGCTGTCATTCAGAAACTACGCTTCAAGGCCGATCACGGTAAAGTTTACAACAAATTCGTTAAAATCAGAAATGACTTTACATACAAAGGAAGTGAGGGATCCATAGTGCATGGAAGGATTCCCTGCAGTATCTCACTGTAGACAGCAGCGCCCCCTGCTGTGCTTTAATGGGCTTTGTACCTGTTGTGTTAAAACAGAGGAGCTGGACCTCGAGGACGGCCAGTGGGAAGACGTTCATGTCATCACCGGAGCGCTGAAGTTGTTTTTCCGAGAGCTTCCTGAGCCGCTTTTCCCATACAGCCACTTTAATAAGTTCATCTCAGCCATCAGTAAGCAGATTTTTAGATCCAATCCTCTAATTTGAACAGACTATATCACCCGTTCTAGGACAAACCTTAATCTTAATTATGGTACATAAACTTAATGATACATCTGTGGTTGGTAGATTAATAACTTTTGTCCTGTTTTTCAAGGAACTGCTGATTACAACACAAAACTGTCTTACATGTATGACCTGGTCCAATCACTTCCTCCTGCAAATCATGATACAATGAAACTCCTTTTTGGACATTTACGCAGGTATGCATCCATTTTTTAAATATTTGTTTTATTTTGTTTGTTTGAGAACTTGTAACAGATACGTAACAAGAAAATTATGATGCCTCACATAATCATCCCATTTTGTTCTCTGCCAGGGTCATTCAATATGGGGAAGACAATCGCATGACTGTGCAGAATGTGGCAATTGTATTCGGCCCGACTCTGCTTCGGCCAGAGACGGAGTCAGCCAACATCACCATGCATATGGTCTTTCAGAACCAGATCGTGGAGTTCATCCTGAATGAATATGAGCGTATCTTCTACTCCAGCTAAAGCAGTCACAAGCCTCCAGTGTGGACCCGGGCAAACGTCTAATGTGCTCAAGTTATTTGAAGTGCTAGATTTACCTTTGCATGCACATAGACAGCTTCAGTGCGACATCTAAAATGAAACTCTGCTTGTAAAATAAGTTGAAGGGCCTTTTAGGTTTTCTTTGCTCAGAATATTTGAGGTTTAACCACGTAAAACAAATTAGATAAAGGGATCTTCAGATGGTCTTTGCTGAGAATATTTGAAGCATGTTTAACCACTGTTTTGTCCAGATTTATGCCATAGGAGGCTGACACTGTTAGAACTATCTTTGGCAGTATTGTAGGATTGGAAATCAGGCCACACAGGTGTCAAC